AAATCGCTATAACTTTTACTTAAACGGTCATAATTTTGTTCCTCTAGCAATATTAAAACTTACAGCAACTAAATGTATTTTTTTTTAGACCGAAAGCGATAACATTTCTTGTGATCCGCAGACAAAAGGAGAAACGAGAAGCTCTCCGGGCCGAGATCATCAGCGCTGTCAAGGCAGGGGTGAGTACTTTCGTTTCCTGCACTTCTTTCGCCGATGTTGAACCACATTTGCATCTGTTGTCTGTGGAAGCTAGGGACTGATGCGTAGTCTGTCGCTGCAGGCCGTATGTGGGATAAGGCTTTCCACCAAATTTAATACTGTTGCCAGAGCAAATTAGGAAAACTGCACGAGCTCTTCCTTGAGCTGTTGGTCGTGTTCCAAAGGTGTGCAAAATTTTCAAGACAGTTGCGATATTTTGCTGTTCAGTATCGTGTTGTGTGTGGAATATGTTATTAATGCTTTATCATTTTCTGAAGTTCACTGTAACACCGTGTACGGTTTTTATTGTCGAATTAAAAGAACGCAGGGATCATAACAGTGTATTCATTAGTATGATATTGCCAGACATTGATATAGGTCTATTGATTACGCTTAGGCATTTGGTCTACATTTTCGCTTTATAAACAAGCATTTGTAGTGGCAAATAGTCCCATTTTATTATCTGTATTATTATTATTACAATTACAATTATTGTTTTTTATGGTTGCCGTTTTTATTATGTTTGTTATTATTATTAATATTATTACTACTACTACTTAGAACTACATACATTTGAAATATCCGTGTCCAATATCCTTATTGATAATCAATAATTATCCAAAAGGTAAGTCCTGGCAAGAATGCCGTATGCTCGTTTGCGTGTGACCTTCGCCCTCGGGTGACCTCTTACCTTGGCTAGACCTCAGCCAGACCTCAGAGCCTCGCCGAACCCCGCCCCGTGATATAATACTCGTAGCATTTGCTCTTGATCTCTGTCTGGCCTTTGCCGACTCTCACCGCTGCCTCAGGGTGTCACAGGAAGTCATAGGCCTAGAACGCCTGCAAGCGACAGAAACGAGTATAATATTACGAAGTGTTCTTCACTTAACAGAACATTTATTCAGGTGTTAGGTAATCTACCTTCCTTTTTATGCAGCAACCTCGTAAATATTATGTAATGTGTTTAAACTACGTATACATTACAGTCACTGCCGCATGAATTGGGTTGGCTACAGTAGGTAGACTTTTTAGTTATAACTTTTAACGCTAACGAATTTGCAAAGGTTGTCCAGATTTGACATTCCATCTCCACCTGATTTCGAAAACAGAAATATGCGTCGCGGTAACTCTAATCTAATCTTATGATTTCTTCTAGTCACGTGTGTCTTATACACCGGCACACGGCTTTTGTCATGGAGTGTTTGTATGCTTTGTTACAGGGGATGGAAGGTACAGGAAAAATGAGATAACCTCTCGGTCATGGGTCAGATATGCACGATTCATTACGTGACTGCCTGGAAATAGTCAAACTTGCTGCACAAACACGGATGATAAATTCGAAAGTGAAAACGCTGACTTTGTTGGGATTTGCTTTTCATTTTTCAAAATCTGAAATTAATTCACATTCTAGTTTTGTGGCTTTTGGTATCAGCAGGTTACGTTTTATGTTGATGTAGACTTACTGGTTCTCAGCAGCTGTCAGCTTAGGACGTTGACTTGCATGTGAATTGTTACTATGGTTAAACGAGGGTGGTTTGTACAATTGGTATCGTGTGTAGTTCTAGTGCCATGATGTATTGTCTTGATTGCATAATAGCGGTAAAATGCTTCAGTGTACCTTGCAAATTGTATATTATTTAGAAGTAGACCACCCAAGGCGTTTCATAAGCATTATCTAGGACTTGCAGTGCCAATTTCTATTTTTTTAGAACACCGAAATGTCTCCGATTTGCCGGCCTCCAAGAAAAATGGCATATTTTGCCAGTGAAATATGACCCACAAAGTAACCTTGGTGTTGTTAAGATCATTTGAGCAGACATCCTGCTGCCCAGATGTTTTTATTTAAAAGGATTTTAAATTGTTTGGACAAACTGACGCGTTCAGTTTAGGGAGATGAAACTAAGTGTGTCTATGAATGAGCGTGAATGGAACTCCGCCGTGACAATGGGGAAAACAGACGTAAACTGTTGAAGTGGCAGTGGTGATAGCGATAATGTCACGCTTTTTACCACACGTGCTAATGATGTTAAGGTTGGAGTGGAAACAGCCGAGAGCGTTACACAATGGGGTTCGCTTGAAGGGGGGATGGATGTTGTATCGTAATAAAAAGGGGGCGAGGAGGAGTTGAGATAATTATCGGCTATTGTCTCGTGAAATGTGGATGGAGACGGATAAGAGAAGAAACTAGGAGATGGCAAACGACTGGAAGGAGAATTTTTTTTTTTCAAATATGGAGAATAGGAGGGTTTCCTTTCAACGACGCATGTGCAGGGAAGGAGAGAGAGAAACATGAAGAAAAGGAAAAAGCCTGTTACAAGAATGGCTGGTAAGTAGGAAACATACCACAGAAACTTTATGAGGGAGACGCACACAAAAACATGTGGAGGAAGTGATAAGTGCTTAAATGCTCAGAGAATGTCATGGAGTTTGTGGACGGTTTAAGAAGGGAATGAAAAAGGAAGAAAAATGAGGTCGGAGAGAGCTCCAGCTGTGGTGTCAGAGAGCAAAGGCGACAGCGTGAATGAAAGGGCCAGAAGAAAAAAACGTATCAAGTATCTCGGCAATAAGCAAGAAGAATGTGAGCAAGAACATGCAGCACGAGGAAGAGCTGCTCCTATGACAGGAGGCGGACATGCCAGCCGGCTTCAAGGAAGGTCTCGCCAGCGCCTCTGCTTCCCGTGAGCGCAAAACGCACCTGTCTGCTGCCTCTCGAACCATCCGCTGCATTCTGCTCACGTAGGACAGCGGCGTGTAGATGGCCTGCGCTTCATGTTGAAGATGAAATAGATAGTCGATAAATTTTACCGTATAAAACTTATGATTTTTCATTCGTCAGTGGTTGAATTAGATATTAGCATATTTAACTACTTTTTATCTTTTATTCTACTTTTTTCGTATTTTATTGTGCTGAAAAATCAAATTAAACTGAGGAAACTGCTAATATATATGATTTTTTTTATATCGTCATTCCTCAGTGCTGATTAAAACGAATAAGTTAAATATGACAAATCAGAGCTGTGAGTATGTTGTTCCCACTGTCCATGCCCTGAGAAAATTCAGATAATGACCATGAATGCGCCGACTATTGCGTGCATAGACGTAGATTAAGAAATAATTTTGGTCATGTTACTAGAGTTGGCGAGTATCACGCAAGTTTAGTTAATTATGGATGAAATGAGCAACTGTGTATGTATATTCTCTCTCTCTCTCTCTCTCTCTCTCTCTCTCTCTCTCTCTCTCTCTCTCTCTCTATATATATATATATATATATATATATATATATATATATATATATATATATATATATATATTATATATATATATATATATATAAATACATATATATATATATATATATATATATATATATATATATATATATATATATATATATATTATATACACACACACACATTGTGTGTATATATATGTGCATATGTATACATATATATGCATATATACATATGCATATATTCATATGCATATATTCATATGCATATGTATAAACACTTTATGTATATATAAATATATGTAGAAATATAAACATATGTATGTGCATATGTATTTGTAGAAACACTGTATATGTGTGTATATATATATATATATATATATATATATATATATATATATATATATATATATATATTCATATGTACATGTGTGTGTGTATATATATATATATATATATATATATATATATATATATATATATATATATATATATATACATACATACATACATACATATATATGTTTATATAAATGTATATACATATATGTGTGTGTGTGTGTGCGTCTGTCTGTCTGTCTATGTCTATTTGTATATCTTTTTTTTTCATATGAAGAACGATAACCAAGAGAAAAAACTGAAATTAGCCAGTAATCAAACTCCGTCTGTGGCTCCCGCTTAACCTCTCGAATTTCCATGACGCGGCCAAGACTCATTCTCTCGCTGTGTTAATTGCCTGATTCTTCCAAGCTGCCTCTCACGACCGTCGCTGCAACGTCCTTCTAATGATCCGTTTCGCCTCGTAGAATGTTTTACGGGTCCTTTCTTCCCCCGGGGCGTGGTGGGAGCCAAGGTCGTGAGACAGAAAGATGCTCCGGGACCTCTGACGTGCAAGGTCGCCACAAGTCGTACTTATCTCTTGCTTGTCTCTCCCTCTATTCCTTCTCTCACTCCCTGTTTTTTATTCCTGCTTCTTGCCCTTCCACCCTGTCCCTTCACTTAGCCCTTCCCGACATCTCCGAAGCTTGTTATAAACTGGACAATTACAGCTGTTATCATTTGTAAAGTACCTGTTTGTCGTGTTTTATGAGTGCCACCGCTTGTCAGTAACAATGGCACTGATATGACGCCCTACATTGTGTACTTGCGATTATACGTTACGTCCGCATGCATGATCACCGGATAACGGTGTTCCAACTTAAGATTTATTTGTCATGCATTTCAGTTATGCGTCTGTTTCTTTTCGGCTTCCTCGCCTTGCAGATCCTTTGTCGGATTCACACTTTAGGAAGTTGGTTGTTATTTCCCCTTTATCTTTCCTCTGATCTCGTCACGCCCTTTCATACTCCTGGGACCCACCTTTGTCGCTATTTCTGTTTCTCTCTGTCTACTCTTCATTCCTAGGTTTTCCATAATTCCTTTTTCATGTAGCTTCTACCCCCTCCTCCTCCTCCTCTTCTTCTTCGCCTTTTTCTTTTTCTTTTCCTTTTGTCTTTATTTCTATCCTCTCTCTCTCTCTCTCTCTCTCTCTCTCTCTCTCTCTCTCTCTCTCTCTCTCTCTCTCTCTCTCTCTCTCTCTCTCTCTCTCTCTCTCTCTTCGATGCATACATATAGATATACATGTATTCATATATATATATATATATATATATATATATATATATATATATATATATATACATATACATAAGACTCCTTTCCTCCAACATCCTCCCCACCTTCCACCCCCCCCCCCTTCCCTCCAGACCTCCA